AGTGAGCCATTTTTTACTATTTTAATTGTGTTTTCTGTTTAGCAAGTGATATGCAATTCTTTGGAAACCAGCCTCTTCCCACTGGAAGTGCATGCTGTGTATGGGGAAGACTTGATCAGTAGTGGTCACTGGAGATTGCACATACATCCTGTAAATTTGACACCTGTTTAATAATCTAAAAGTATAAGAGAACAGAGTCTACATTACTAGTGATGGGGAGCTGCAACAAGATTATGTTCATCTGCTTCTACATTACATACTATGTTAATTCATTATTTTTTTTTTGTTAGTTTGTATGCCAATATATTTGTTAAGTATATTAATGTAGAACAACTTATATTGAATGGAATAGGAACAGCAGATTCTGTGATTGGATTCTATCACTTATTTGTTGGTGTTTTGTTTTGCTTTTTTTTGTTTGGTTTTTGTTTTTTTCTTCATACATATCGGGGGAAATGAAAACACTTCACTTCCTGAAATTTAGAATCAGCTTCACTTTAAGTCCTCTAGGCTCGCAAGTGAGGCTCATGAAAAACATTTCTGTTTGTCTAGGGAGACTCTTACCATTAACAATCATGTTACATGTGGTTTGTAAATACATTGGAGCAGAAGTGCTCTTTTGAAAATCTTTTAATGAGGAAAAAGTCATAAGAAATACTTAAGTCCCTGAGCTCCCTTACTGGGAAAAACGTGACTACCCAAAAATAGTCTTCTTCCAGTGTAGGTAGTCTAACTTCCAATGGCCCAGGCATCTGAGGTGTAACTCAGGGTATTGATAAATACACTGTACCCACATCATCTCATATTTCTTCAATACCCCAATCAGCTTTGCTTTCAGGACAACTAAAAGCCTTGATTCTTTAAAAAATGATGTGTGGAGGCATACTCTATCTGCTCATTATTACTGACTTCTGTTCAGTCTGTAAAGGCAGCTTGTGAAGCTTTGCATGGTTAAAGCTTCCAAGTGCCCATTCTGCTGTAAAGCCAACTTGGGTTTTGGCTTCTTTTTGCTAGCTTTTCTGTACTGGTCTGGCACACATGATAGTAATTGCAACTCACTTTTTGGATCAATGTTCTCATTGGAGCTCAGGCAGTTACTCAGAGTAATAAAAAATAAATCAAATTGGTAACGTAGGCTTCGATGTTAAACATTTTAATGTTAATCACCTATGATGATGACACTGGAATTATTTAATGAAAGTTTTGCTTTGGGTTTCTATGTTGGTATCCATATTCATTTAGCAAGAAGGAAATTCTGCTACTGTAAAGAGGTCCCAATCCTCATTTTTCCCCTCATGTTTTGAATATTGATTTCTGAGAGAGAAACAAAGACCCATACTCTCTGTAAATGTTATGCTGTATATTTAAACTGAGCTGAATCATCCATGCCTGTATTTAGAGCAGGCAGTAACTGCAAGCCAAAAGAAAACCTTTTTCTGAAGACCAGTTTATCCTACCATTTTGGGGTTGCATCACTGGAATGACTTACTGAAAATGTCGATGCACATGTTTCAGGTTTGGCTAACCATTGTTCCCTGCCTGAACAGACATGTTACTGATGTAGCAGTATAGATTAATTCGGATGTGCCAGTTTCCTTTTTCCCTATGGTGCATGGATTGTTTCTGTTTATGCCACATTTTTTTAATATTCTTTTGCTCAGATAATATACTGTGTCTGGCTGCAATGGAGGTAATTTTCCTCACAGCCACTTATGTGGTGCTGTGTTTTGGATTTGTGCATAAAGTAGTGTCAATAACTCCCCAATGTTTTGGCTGACTCTGTGTGAGTACTGCTCAGGAGCAGGACTTTCTCTTTATCCCACTTCCCTGCAAGTAGGCTGGTACGCAGGAAGATAGGATTGAACACAGCCAAAACAGCAGACCCAGACTGGCCAAAGGGATATACTGTATGAAACTCTGTATATACTGTATAAAACCAAGGTGATGTGGGATGGGAAGTTGGTCTTGAAGATAGCTGTTGCTACGTGACTGTCTGGGAGCTAGTCTGCTTGTGGAAAGTGGTGTGTGATTGCCTTTGCATCACTGTTTTTTTCTTCTTCCCTCCCCCCCGCCCCGTCTTTCCTGCCTATCTTTACCCATGAGTTTTCTCACTTCAACTCTTCTGTTTTTCTCTCCAGCCCATTGGGGAGTGAACAAGAACTGTGTTGGTGCTTAGTTGCTGGTGAGATTCAACCCACCACAGACAGTACCATATCCTACTCTATCCAATAGTATATCTTACATGTTTTTCTGCCAAGGGAATACTCACAGGTATGCCTGAAGTGAGAACAGAGTATCAGATAGGGATTGGAAAGAACGTGTTAGGAAAGTAAGGACGAATAGTCTACGGGCTGTAGTGAGAGCTGGAGAAAATCAGAATTGGGTTTAACCATAATAAAAGATTGTGTGTGAGAGAATCACTTGAAGTTCGGAAAAAATAGACAATCAAGAAAAGGGGAGTACAAAGAATATATATATATATATATATGTTTTTTAAAAAGGAAACTCACAGGAAAGAAGTGAGAAGAATAAGATATCTTCATAATAGGTGCTTTTTAGTAAATCAGAAATTTATATGTGGTTTTATTATTTTGTTATTTTAGGTGAAAAAATAGGCAACTTAAGAACTGATTTTTATTTATTTTTATTTTTAGCAGATAGATTTCTGTTCCCCACGAAGGACTGACTGTTCTGCCATAATTCTCGAAATCATTATGATTCCATCTACCAAAACCAAGGGGATAGCCAGTTTACATAGTTACACAAGTACCAGTTAACATGCTTTCTTTCAGACTAGAAAGTGCTACTCTAAAGTAGCAGTTGTGATTGTAAGTTGAAGGGGAAGAATTCAGGAAGCACCCTCCAAGAAAGACAGCAATGACATGGGACAGGAAATGCAGAATTCAGAAACCAAATTATTTATCATTGCCATATTTTCACAACTATTTTACCTTTTTCTGAATTTCATTAAAATTTCTATAAAAAACTGCCCTCAGATGAGGTTTTATCTGTATTGCATTTTCTTCCTGGGAGTATAGTATATCTTACTATTATTTTCACATAATTATACAATCATTTGGGATTGGAAGGGACACTGGAGATTGTCTAGTCCAACTGCTCTGCTCAAAGTATGTTCAACTAGAGAGCATTGCTCAGGGCTGTGAACAGGCTGGTATACAGTATCTCCAAAGCTGGAAATTCTGCAACATCTCTAGGTAACCTGTTTCACTATTTCACCACAATTACAGTATGTAAAAAAGGATTTTCCTATATTTTGCTTCATGCCCATGGCCCCTCTCCATTGTGTACCACTGAGAAGGGTCTGGCTCCGTCTTTTCATACTCTATTATCAGCTTTTTATGTACATTGATAAGAACCCTGCAAAGCCTTCTCTTTTCCAGACTGAACAATCACAGCTTTCTCAGCCACTCTCCATGTTAGATGGTCTAAACCTCTAAAATGTCGTTTGAATACCCAAGCAGAGGCTGTTCATGTTCATGTCTCTTATATTTTGTCATTTATCCTACCGCTATCCCTTCTGTTTGACTATGGTTTGTTTTATTTTTCTGCTCTGCCTTGTGTACCAAAGACATTCTAAGCATTCTTAGCCATCAGTATTCTCCTGGTTGTTTTTGACTGCTGGAAACGTCAAACAGGTTCTTTACCATTTAAAGTCGTCGTACTTAATGGGAGAAATGGTCTGTCTTCGTAATGGCTCCAGTGCTCTTTTTGTGGATTTTTCTCCTATAATGCAATAAAAAAATATAGTTGAACTATCATTTCTTCTTTTGTGATTTGGAGAAGTACTGAGAATGAATCAATGTCAGGAACTAATTAATGTAAAATAAATAGAACATGCAGACATTTGAAATTTGAGCAGTTTAAAGTAATACTAAAAAAGCAGCAACAACAAAAAAGACATACTGTCATCATGTCTATTTACTCCTTGGTCACAATTGTTTGAATTTTCAGGCGTTAAATTACTTATGGATGGCCCATGATTTTTTGCTATTGTCAGTAGAAGCATATTGGGAACTACATGGAAGAAATGAGCATTGACTAACAGATGAAAAATTTCAAACAATATGTATTTTCTAGTTCATACCAAGTCTTATGTAAATGCAAAATATAATTCTGATCAGACTTAATTTATGATGAGTTTTATCATTGTGATAGAACAATATAAGAGTAACAACAAGAATGTTTAGTTGTATCATTTTCCATGAACAGTAAACCTTCAATGCAATTTGTTTCTGTGTTATAGTGAACAGATTAGTTTTAAAAAAATAATAATAATAAAAAAAAAACTTGGACTTGACCTGGCTCAGATTTATATGAAATATGTTGGATTAGTTTCACTGTTAATTTACTCTGAAGTTACAAAGCAAAATTGTGTGTAATGTGCTGTCATGCTGTTGTGATTATTGACTTAATTTACCATTTTTTTGCTTTTCTGAAATAAAAAAGTAGATTTGTTGGTTCTGTTGCATGTTAAATCTTTTATTACCTTTGAGCTGTGTTAAATTTGATAGTACAGAACCGTTTAAGAGCCTATTTTCTGAAGGAAATATGTGTTTTTATCTTGTCTCTCCCTGACATTGCCCATGGTAACCCGATCTTGAGTTACCTTACCTATTATATAATTTCTTCACATGTCCCATGTAATGTCTTATTAAGTCTGTGTCACTTCTGTGTTCTGTGATAGAAATTCAAAACCAGACTGAGCTGACCAGTGATTATTTTCTGTGGTTGTTTAGTGCACATGTAAAATTTCTTGGGAACCCGTTCCCTGTTTGCTCGAGTCTGTGACACTTGAGTGGCTAAAGAGGATACAGAACCGTTCCTGACCCAATTCTGTCTGTGTATTTTTCTGATACTGAAAGTCCTCCCCCGCTTCCTCCCTCACCCCATTTTGAGATCTCATAAACATGTTCACCTTTGTTTTATTGTGCATTACTGGAATTCTGACTGATGCGCTATCACTTCAATGTGTCCTGCAGGTTGTTAAATGTGCTTTGCTGTGAGCTTAATACCCTTTTGTTCTTGGAAACTCGCTATAAAGTATCACAAGTTTTACTAACTGCTCAGGAAGAAAATGTCACAGAAACTTCTGAAGGACCAGGGTAAGAATTGGCCTATGTAAATGTTATTTGAATTGTCAGACTTTTCTCCTGAGTATATATGAGTTCCTTAGTAGCTTTGAACACAGAGATGCTCTTACTGTAGTTAGCATCTAATGTATATAAATTTACTTAGGAGCATGTTTATCATCAATCTTAAATTATCAGAAGATACTTCATTCTTTTTCCTACTTCCAACTCAAAAATGTAAAAGTGAAAGGCAAGTATTTTTCTCCTTTTCATTTGCATAAATCTTGTTATTTATTTATTTATTTATTTATTTATTTTTAAATGGAGTGCAAAATTTGTTGGTGCAATTGTGCCTTTTGAAATTACTTGATGTTACTCTTCTATGTATATAATATAAAATAAGGGTATGTATGTATTAAAGGCATATTAAAGGCATCACCAGTACTTTGAATTTTTTTTTTATTTGTACCTTAGTCAGCTCCCCAACTTTTGTGAGATTCTATTGCTGACTTTTAAGTAAAATTGCACAATTTATCTTTTAAAAAATGAAAGTATATTTTGGGGATTGAAGTGGATGTTCATTTAGTCCCAACCATTTTGTCCTTTCTCTCAGCATGTTTAATGTTAAAAACTTAACTCTTTCTGTTTGCTGTATGGGACCAGTACAGAGCTTGAATCAAACTGCATGGGCTAAAATCTCAGTAGATAAACATTATTGTTATATACTATTTGAACAGGAGACCTATTGTTTCCTTAAACAATAGATACTGTATTCTAAAAAACTCGGTATATAAAAATTGATTTTTAGTTCCTTTAAAAAAAAAATTGTACCCTGAGGTACAAATTGATTTAAGACAGCAAGTTAGGTGTGTGTTAAGTTCTGAATAACTGCTTATTTGGGAAAGCAGAAATTGCTGATAGGCCAAAAAAGGGAACAGATTTTGATGCTGTTAACTGTTTCTGCCCTAGTTACTGAGCATGTGGGCATAACAAAGCCTGAAGTTTTAGAATCATAGAATATCCCAAGTTGGAATGGACCCATAAGGATTGTTGAGTTCAACTCCTGGGTCCCCAAAGGACCGCCCAAAAAATTAGACCATGTGTTTGAGAGCAGTGTACAAATGCTTCTTGAACTCCGGTAGGCTCAGTGCCCATGACCACTGCCCTGGGGAGCTTGATTCAGTACCCAACCATCCTCCCAGTGAAGAACCTTGTCCTGATATCCAGCCTTAACTGCTCCTGTCCCAGCTCCATGCCATCCCCTCGGGTCCTGTCGCTGTCCCCAGAGAGCAGAGCTCAGCGCCTGCCCCTCTGCACCCCTCGTGAGGGAGCTGCAGGCCGCCATGAGGCCTCCCCTCAGCCTGCTCTGCTCTGGCCTGAACAAACCAAGGGGCCTCAGCCGCTCCTCACATGTCTTGCCCTCCAGACCCTGTACCATCTTCATAGTCCTCCTTTGTACACTAGACCCTTCACCAGCTTTGGAACCCTCCTTTCTACTCTTTTGTTTCCCCTAATTGCTTAGATGTTTCCGGTCAGTATTAGATAGAGGAGTACAAAATTAGAGTAATACTTGCAGACATCACAAAACACTTCATGTTTCTGTTTATTTCTTTATGCCTATTTATTGCCCAAGTCATGTTTTAACTCTGCGCTGTGCATCTCTGAAGTTATTCTTGCTCAGCACAGTTTTCTGAATTAAACAGTCATTGGTAAATCAAAGTGGTAGTGATTTTTTAATTTTTTGTGTGTCTTGTTTTGTTTTCCAGAGATATTATAATTGATGGCCTATCAGTTGAGAGAAACCATGTTCTTGTTAGAGTATATCTTATTGGAGGACCACAGGAAAGGATTTTGCCTCAGAGAGTACTAGATAAGGTTAGAATTTAAAATTTATTAATTTCTGTTTCTTTACCTCTTATCCTCATTAATTGAACATTTTTTTTGATATTTTAGGACATGGAAAATTATTTAACATTATAAAATAGCAGTCCACCTTTAGCTTTATAAAGGGCTAACACTGACACTGAAAAAAATACGTTTTTTTTACTGCATGCACTGTTGGCATGTGCCTAGGACACTCCACAATCAGATGACGTTTTTGTATTGATGCATTTTAGTAATACTTTTCTCACTATAAAAATGAATGCAATTTGTCCATTTTTTACTTCTATATTTCTGTTTTTTCTTTATTACCTTTCTATTTGTTATATCATGTTTTTTCCATGCTTGAGTTTACATTTGTGGTACTTAATACTTGGAGCTTTCATCAATGTTCTAACAGTACAGTGTTCGTTAAACAGTTCCTTTAAATGTTCTACTTCTTATGAAGTAACTCTTACAAAAATGGAACACAAATTACTGTCAGCACAGGAAAGACAGCTAGATCAATGCATAAAATTGGAATTACAAGGTTCTTTTGTTTGTTTGTTTGTTTGTTTTAAAAAAAAAAAAACTTCCAATTTCCCTTTTGGTTGAAAAAAGAATTGTAACATCAAAACTGTCAGTGGTGCATGCTGGAACAAGTTTTGGCTCAAAGTCTTTGTGGATTTTGTGTCCTTTAACTTTTATTTTAGTTATGAAGTATATCATCTTGAATTGTATATAAAGCCTATTTTCTTATATAATCAATAGTTCTGGGAGCTTGACCTAATTTAATTTCTTTTTGGTCCTGTTTCTAGGGCAGTGATCCATATCCTTGGCCAATGTTTTCATCGTTCCCTTTGCCAAAGTGCTATCTTGCAGAAATTCCTAGGAAAACTGAATTCAGACAAGGTATGTACAAAGCACTCAAATAGTGTAGATGTTGAACAAACATCTGTCATTTTATTTTTTTTTATTTTTTTTTTCCATAGATTATGATCTCATAAATACCTAAGGATTTTTCATTGTTGGCTGCATTTGTAGCTAAGTAAGTTGGTTTGGTTTTCCGTGTCTGGCTTTGTGCAACTGTCAATCTGCAAAGCTCTGTTTACTAATCTAATTCCAATGCAAACTTAAAGATTAACCTTTTGGCTTGTCTCAGGTGGGTGAGTCATGAGATATATTTATATCGTCTCTCTAGTAACTGAAGCAAGACGTTATGGTTAAGCTACATATCTTTTGTACACTATTTTCTTGATTCAGATCCCCGTGTTTACAAAACTTGTTGGTGTGTGAAATAGACAGTGTTTAGGATAGTTGGTTTCTGCATTGAATATCAATTTGTAATGTGGGTAGACTAAAGAATCCTTTGAAGAACTATCTAGGCAAAGCAGTTTAATTCATACAGAGAAAACATTTTAAGATTTTAATTTGCATAGACAATGCAAAAGAACCTGGTGAATGAGTTATAATAAGTAAATTGTCCTTTGTATTTGTTCATGTTCACTATATCCTTGAGATGTTCTTATTAAACTTACTTGTGAGTTTCTTCAGCCAGTGTAGATTTTCAGAAGTGATAGAAGTTCTACATCAAATGAAGTTTAGATAATATTCTCTATATAGATATCTAGAAAAATAAAGCAGTTGACAAAATTTGTAAAGAACAGAATACTCTGATTCCTTTCTCTGATAAGAGAAAAAGCAGTGTAGTTATAAAAGAAGGGAATTTTATTTACTTTAGTAATACTGTTCAGGTTTCCCATGGTAATTTTCATAAGACACTAAATTTTTAGATCAAATCACTGTAAAATGGGTGCCCAGTTCTTTTAAAAATGTCTTCAAGAAGGCAAGTGGCCTTACTCTTCAATATTTGCTATATCTCTCAGAACATCTCTTGTCTTGTTCAGAGCAATTCTGTTGCTTGTCATTAACAAGTGGCCTAATGGAATGGGGTTGGTGTTTGTTGCTTTACAGGATGACAACCAGTTAGGAAAGCTTGGTTAAAACTTTTTGACTAAAAGTAAATTTACTAGAATTAAGTTTCAAAGATATGCAAGTATGTTAGATAGAGGTATGGGAATATATTTTATTTCAAATGGCATTTTTATATTATAAAATACTATACAACTCAAAAATGAACAGTGCATTTGGTTTCATAGTCAAACAAAACATTTAATGCTTTTTACTTGTAAAAAAAAGACACTACTGAGTGTGTTCTGTTTCAATTCTAATTTTTTAAAATGAATTATTCTTCATCAAACTGTGAATCTCTGATTTGCTGGGCTGAAGCTTTCAGGATGTGTAAGTTCTTGTGGAAAAAAAGCGTGAGAATGAATAGATCAAATATGAAAAGAATTAAATTCATAAATTACAGATTCTTGTAATTGGAAAAAAAGAAATCAAGAGCAAGATTAGAAAATGGGGTATATCTGGACTCAATTTTTCAACACTATAATATGACAGTGATATGAGGGTTCTTTCACAAGAGATTGGAACAAGTTATGATTAATATCTATGGGTTATGTTTGTACAGGACAGGAGATAATTGTTTGCAGTTGAAGCCGGTGAGTCCTTGAGTGGAGTGCCTCTAGCATGGGTATAGCAGTCTAAGAAAAACAAGTACATTAGGGGAATTGTAGAGCAGAGCTACAAATCGTGCCTTTGAGATGTTATGTATGAATATAGACTGAAATCACAGTATCACATAATATTTTGAGCTGGAAAGAACCACAAGTATCCTTGAGTTCAACTCCCTCCACATAGGACTACCTAAAAGTTAAACCATTGTCAAACACTTCTTGAACTCTAGTAGGCTTGGTGCCATGATCACTGCCCTGGGGAGCCTGTTGCAGTGCCTGACCACCCTCTCAATGATGAACCTTTTCCTAACATCCAGCATGAACCTCCCTTTACACAACTTCATGCTGTTTCCTTAGGCCCTAGTATTAAGGAATAATTGCAACCGGCTGATACTGAAAAAGCAAAGGCAAGTCTCTCAGTATATAAAAAGCAATTTTAAGGAAGACAGTTAGCTCTTCCATGTCCCTGTGCAGAAAAAGTAGTTGGTTTATTTGGCAGTGAAGATTTGTTACAAATTAACTTAAAACAATTTAGTAGGATGCATCTAGAAGTCATGAAATCATCAGTGGAGATTTTAAAAGCAACCTCTTTGGAGTTGTATTTATTCAGCATTCACGTTGTATAGCTGTTACACAGCTTGCTAGAAAGTTTAAGACATTTTCGTTAGACATTTCTTTTTCAGTGCAAATAGCTGGACAGGGCTCACACAGACTTCATCGGTATGGCAAGAGTTCTGCTGCCATTCAAAAAATTGTACATCATATGATTGGGGATGTTTAAATGCTTGTTATATCCATCACTAAAGAACGAAGGCTAGTGCAGTTCTTCTGTGATTCCCTGAAGTTGGTGGTGTTCAGATTTCACGCTGTGATGTTATGTAACTTCTATGGTATCATTTCTGTCCACTTCTTGGGGTGCTTATACTACATGAATAATTAAAACTACTAGATTCTTAGCACTGCTAAAGAATGTACAATTTCTTTGGCTGAAGTGGAAAAGGTTTTAACTGTAGGTTTTATTCTGACTGTCCTGACCTCTTTTTAACCTCCCCTCTTCTTACCCAGGTGACATGGACACCTGAAGAGAAGTTTACCTTTCTTTTTTCCTTTCAGAATTGGTTCTTGTCTTATAATTGTGGTGTCAGCTGTAAAAAAAAAAAGATGGAAGTTGCCTTTTTGAATGCAAGCTGAAATTAGAGTGAATATTTTGGAACTCGTATGGCTGTTGCTTTCTGTAAAGATTATGTACTTCTGAAGTCAGGGAACCGTAGAGCTTCGTTTTCACAGTCCCAGACCTGAAGTAGCTTATGAAAGTAGCAAATGTAATGGAAGTCATAGATAAAAATTGAAGTAGAATATTGATGGGTGGTCATTGAAAAGAACTTATTCATGCTGTGTTTATGATGAAGAAAATCCAAGAAATAGTTTGTTCTTCCATCTCTAAATTCTTCTGAAGTAACAGTGTGACCAGCAGGGCTAGGGAGGTGATTGTCCCCCTGTACTCGGCTCTGGTGAGGCCGCACCTCGAGTACTGTGTTCAGTTTTGGGCCCCTCGCTACAAGAAGGACATGGAGGTGCTTGAGCGGGTCCAAAGAAGGGCGACAAAGCTGGTGAGGGGCCTGTAGAACAAGTCCTACGAGGAGCGGCTGAAGGAGCTGGGCTTGTTCAGCCTGGAGAAGAGGAGGCTCAGGGGCGACCTTATCGCTCTCTACAGATACCTCAAAGGAGGCTGTAGTGAGGTGGGGGTTGGCCTGTTCTCCCATGTGCCTGGTGACAGGACGAGGGGGAATGGGCTAAAGTTGCGCCAGGGGAGTTTTAGGTTAGATGTTAGGAAGAACTTCTTTACTGAAAGGGTTGTTAGACATTGGAACAGGCTGCCCAGGGAGGTGGTGGAGTCACCGTCCCTGGAAGTCTTCAAAAGACGTTTAGATGTAGAGCTTAGGGATATGGTTTAGTGGGGACTGTTAGTGTTAGGTCAGAGGTTGGACTCGATGATCTTGAGGTCTCTTCCAACCTAGAAATTCTGTGATTCTGTGATTCTGTGATACATGCGGCAGTGGTACCTTTCTGGTTGTGCATTTTGGGTGTGGACTGGGTGTGGATATTTTGCCTCACTGGATCAAAAATGAAGCAATCATAATTTATGCTGGTAAAATTACATTCTTCCATTTCATGATGATACTTTCAATGGGTAGACTCAACTTTTGGGGTGTTTGTGGAAGGTGTGGACTGCATGTGTTTGAGGAAAATCTGTAGCGCTTCATTCTTTACAAATCTGCCCTGGTTTAGCAGGTGTTAGTTAGGCACTTGCCTGAGTTATGTACATAGCTGTAGGAAAGGATGTATGGAAAAATCAACTTGATGAGTTGTGCTTTAATGTGCATTAATTGTTTCAGCCAGTATTTAAAGTTGCAAATCTGTTGGAAAGCAGTGTATTAATGGCTCACCTCTGTCAAATACAATTTATAATGAAACTTCAAATTATTTCTACAGATCATTATGTAAGTGTGGAAATTAATTATGCCATTTCCACCTGTTTACACTGCAGCAAGATATCCTGTTGCTTTTCTTTTGTTATAGTTGTTCAATTACAATTTCAGTAATGTAATTTGAGGAAGAATTTTCAAGAGCTTTTCAGAGTGATATAATTCTTTGTTATTCAGGTTACAACTATTAAAAATAATGTGTTTTTTTTTTTTTTTTGACTTGTAATATTAACTACACCGTGGGTTATTAAAAGTTAAACTTTTAAAATGATATTCCATGTAATATTCATTCTTCTATTAGCACAGATCTGTTGTCCTTTTCTTCTCGTAGCTCTGCAGTTGTGACAGTTGGTGATGAGTGTGACTGAAGAATTGTGTCCATAATTTTCCTGCAATTACAGTCACTGCTTAGAGTTTTCAATGTCCATACACACTCCATCATACGTTTTGTCTCTGTGACTGTTAGAATTCAGAATCGCTATCAAAAATCTTCTGTAATCATGTTCTTAAAGCCTTTTAATGTTTTATCTCATCCGTTGTTCTGCCTTTACTTTATCCTCTAATGTGAATGGAACCCCCACCCCTGGTCCTCTGTCAGTGAACCAGCTGTGATAGCTTTCCTGTTACTTTCGTCACCTGCACTTTGTGACTTCTCCTCTATTTTATTTTTGGCAGTCTTTACATATGAGCTGCTTTTTTCCTCTTGAAGAAATTCTACTCTATTAATGAAAGGTGAAAAAGTAAGCGTACAGGCAAATCTGAAATGAACACAGATATTCCTAAAAGAAGGAATTCATAATAACCCTTGCAGGGATTTGTTTTCATGTGATAGTGCAATATGATATGG